AGCTTTCTTCAATTGCTTTTGAACCTCTTCTATACGTCGTTTCAGCTTGATCTCTGTCGCCTTTTCTGGGAGCCTTATTGGATTTCCACATCTCTTGACAAGTTATTGGTCATTTGTTTCTATTGCATCAGCTACATCATTCATAATCCCATTTAAATCTTTCACAACAGGATCCTCTAAGGGTTTCTCTCCATGGATCACAATATTCACCATATCTATTAGTTTTGTCATTTGCTCTTTTGAATCATCTTGGAATTTTTTTGCTTGATCAGTCATCTCTTGTTGTGTATCAATCAATTGTTCTTGCAGTTTCTCAATTCTACCAACCCTTGCTAAAATCTCATTCATGGCTATATCCCTCTTTAGGAAGACCAAGTTACCTCCACTTTGATTTCAAAAATTCTGTCATGGAATTCTCCACGAATTATTCCACATTGTTATGATTAAATGTATGTAAAATAGTTTGAAATAAAATGTAATTATGCAAAGATGCAAATGCAAAAATGAAAATATATATACGAATGAAAATATAAATACGAATGCAAATGGAATGTAAATATGTGAATGTAACAATAAAAATGCAAATGAAAGTGCAAAGGTACAAAATGCAAATGCATGTATGAAAAGGTGTTACTCAAGAGTGGTCATCTTAGAACATATCTCATTGAACACAAAAGTTTCCTTGCATCAAACAAAACTTTTACATGTAGGGGAAATCTTTCAGTCCTATCTTCAACAAAACTTTACATATAGGGGATAACTTTCCCTCCTAACTTTTCTAAAGCCAAGTTAGTTTCAATTCATGCTCAACAGTTGAATTATTAGTCAGCTTCAATTCCTCGTAAGGTCAGCTTGGTCTATCAGCTTATGGACCATATTGCTTGTCTGGACTGCAGCTTCTTCCATGACATTCTGGTGTTTCTTCATCTTCTGTGTCACTTCTCGGAGTTACTCGTTTTCCCTTGTAAGAGAACATTTCTGTCCAAGAAGTTCTTGGATTAGATCTTCATATATGTTGCAATTCTTTTTCAGTTTGGTAACCCCTGTTATCCATTCTTCTGGAGTGTTTCTTATGCCAGCTTTTTGAAAGGCTTGACTGATCTTTTGGAAATCTTCATGCATGGTTTCCACTTCTGTACTCAATTTCTTGTTTTGGTCATTCAAGTCCTTCAAATAACATGCTTGAGCTTCATAAAAACCTCCTCTACTCTGAATGTCCTAACTGATACTCTTACCATAGACTGCTTTTGGTATCAATCTAGCGGGATCTTTGTGGAATACTTTTGGTATTAATATAACAGGATATATGTGTGCATTGCTCGCTTCTATCATTGGAGTTTCCTCAGGATGTCTTTCTTTGGCCGTATCATATTTTGTTTGATCATAAAAATTTTTGTCCATTTCGATTTCTTTCTAATTTGATGAACAGTCTTTCAAGTCAACACCTTTTGGTTATGCCATGATCATGCAATACAGACAAAAGATATTAATATGAACAAGTTAGAGCAAAATAACATGCAGTAAAAAAAAGATAAAAAAATAATAAAATAAAATGGTTAGTACCAACTAATGAAAAGACAAAATCTTCTATCTATCAAGGTATAAATCCTAACCTCATGCTTTCTAATTCTATTCTTTGTTTGAAAAAAAATTAACCTAACCGCATGATTACTAGTTCACATACATTTATTCAGAAAAAATAAAATTCAAATAAATTAAAAAAGACAAAAAGTTAGAACTTATTTCTCCTTTGTGTACACCTACGGACAGAGGTTCAGTACTGTCTTAGATCAGGAGAATTTCTAGGTTTTATTATATGCAGGGTTTCAGTTCTAGGAGTAAAGGTACTCGAACTGTCCTTGTTGGTGCCCCTTTGAGCTGCCAAACTCTCAATCCTAGTCCATTACAAACTTAAATGGATCGAGTTCAATTCGAGGGGACACATTTCCATATGCCTGACACAGAGAATAAAATTCTCACGAAGACAGAGAGCATATGAACCCCGAAAGCTACTTGCTAGGTCTGGCACGAAGAATAAATTCTCACGAAGACGTCGCTTTCACTCCCACTTAAAAGGGACAAGCTTGATTATAAAGCTTATGTTATGCAATGCAAGTGATGTGTGTGAGGAGAAATGTTCAAACTTCTGACAAATAAATAAATAATAAAATTTAATACATGAAAATAAAGTAAACTTTAATAAAAAATAATATATAAAAATATTATGAAAATAATAAGTATATATAAAAAATTTAAAAAGAAAAGATTATAAATTAAATATATGAATTTTTAATTTCTAATCGATACAGACAATTTATAATTAATTTCAAAGTTTGACCGGTTCCCATCGGAGTCGCCAAGCTGTCGTAACCGATTTTTGCCCGGGCACGAAATTTTACTTGGCGGGAAAAGTGATGTGAATAAATGGTTTTTAAAATGTTTAAGGAGTCGTCATCGGCCTTTTGGGTCAGGTAGGTCGAATACTTAAAAAATTATCTTTTAAAAGAGTTTTTAAGAAAACATCAGTTAAAAGATACATTGGTCTGCGTTTTAACCAAAAATTTGTTCTTTTTGATAATAAAAAGGGATTCGTGGTCGATTACATTTGGGGAAAGATTAGCACCCCCACAACGCCCAAAATTAGTACTTATTAATTATAAATTGTCTCTATTATTAGAAATTTAAAAATTCCAAGATATATTTAATTTATAATCTTGTTGTTTCAAATTTATTACTATAATTTTAAGAAAATCTATTAATATAAATATATCTCTATTTTTATAAATAAGATATTTATTTACTTAGAAATATCAGAAAATGACTTCTAGGTGCTTTAAGCCAGCTCTTTTCTTCGATATTAATAAATAAATAAATATTAAAAATGTAATATTTTTTCCTAAAAATAATTTAAATAAAACTAAATTATAATTTTTAAAATACCAGAACATCCAGTTATATTAAAACTGCCCTTTTCTTTTATATTGAAAAATAAATAAATATTAATAAAACTTTTTCCTAATAATCAAAATATATATAATTTATAAAATAAGGATATTTATTTATTTAAAAATATCTGAATGGGACATCTAGTTGCTTTAAGATTGTCTCTTTCTTTGATATTAAAAAATAAATATTATTAATTTATAAAATTAATCAAGTAATATATATATTAATAAGATTAAAATAAAATAATAATAATTAAAATATTGAATTAAACATATAAATTTAAAATATAACAAAACAGTGACTAAAACAAATAGAATTAAAACTATAGTATATTAAAATATAAAAAGTAATAAAACTTGTAATTAAAAATAAATGAAAGTATTAAAATTAGTGATTAAATTATAAAATATTAATATTAAAGGCTCTAGTTTAAAATATTATGAAAATTAGGTGTTACTAACATAATTAATCCTTAATTAATTAATTCCATATCAAAATAAAAGTTATTAAAGTTTTAGGGACTAAATATGGTATTTACCCGAAGTATATATAAGTATACGAATAAGGACTAAAATAAAACAAAATAAAATTCAAGAAAAAAATTAAAATAATTAAAAGTATGATACGAGTGACCAAAATGGAAAGTCTCGAATTTCGAGTGATTGCGGAAATAATTTTCTCAAAAGGGAAATTACACAGATACCCTCCTCAAAATGTGTAGTTTGGGAGAGGGTATATAAACCCTTTTAGCCGGCCAAAATGACTTCATCTCTCTCATTTTCTCATATCTTCTCTCTCTCTAAATGAGAGAACAAAAGTTCTCTGCCTTCTCTCTAAACCAGAGAGAGTTCGACCACCTTCTGGCAGCCGCGCTCCGGCCGATCGTCGTCGTTAACATCGCCACCGACCACCGCTTCCGGTGGTCGGAAACTAAAAAAAGCCCCTCATAAGATAGATCGGCACTCCCTAAGATCGATTCCGACCCCGTTTATCCTAAAATCCCCTAAAATTTTCTAAATCTAGGTTTTATACCTTCGGGTTTCCAATGATTCGATGGCAGTTTGGGGTTCTAATGAGGGTAAGCTACTCCACTCTCTTCTCTTTTCTTTTTGCTTTCTATTTTCTCTCTTATTTGTACTGTTTGGTGCGTATTCTTGCTTGCTATGTCTCCCCGTGTCCGTTGGTTGCTTCCTCCCCTCTCCCTTTTGCAGGTGTGGTCGATGGTTTTTTATAACTATCGACGGTGTGACTCTTGGACCGATCCCATGGGTGAAGTTTGGTGAGTCACCGAATTTGTGGTGACTCACCCTTGAACATTGACGTGTGGAGGGCAGCTGGGCCTTCTAGTGCCTTCATTGGAGGCAGCGGTGTCATGGTTGAAACATCTGGCAGTGGAAGTGTCGATCGCGTCGGTTGGAGCACTTGGCAGCAAAGGAGGTTTCGGTTGAAGGTGGTTGCTGGAAATAGCTGAGGCGGCGGCGCTACGTGGCCCTACCCTAGGGTTTTTATCTGGAGGGTTCTGGACCGTTGGATCTTGCCAAATCCAAAGGCTACTGATGTTGACGGCTGATACACAAACCCTAATCAGGTTTAGTGTTTCCTTTAGGTTTATGGATATGGGCCGATCACTGTTGGGCTTTATGATTTGTAAAACGGGCCTGTAATATTTATTTAATAATAATAATAATATATAATAATAATAATAATAATAATAATAATTTTAATAATAATAATAAAACAAAATGAAAATATTAGTGTTTACAACTTTCATATTTGTCTTGTCTGGAAATGCTTATGGTAATCAAGCTCAATGGAGAAGAAGGCCGTGTTTAGTCATTTTGGGGGCAACCATGCATTGTTTCACCATTTTGCTTTAGATAAAGCTTCATGCTGCATGTATTCATGATCTCGACGTCCTTTTCATAACTGTTACTCTTGATATATGGTCTTGTATTGATTTAAATGAAGGATTTCGATATTTCAGTTTACCATTTTGAAATATCTACCATTTTGTGGTAATTCTCTAATTGATGCAACGTATTTCTCCTCTGCAGGCTGCATGTGAAGAGTTGAGAAACAGTAGAATGTTTCTGAAGCTTTTGGAGGCAGTGCTCAAAACTGGGAACCGCATGAATGTCGGCACCAATCGTTGTGATGCCCATGCCTTCAAGCTTAACACGCTCTTAAAGCTTGTTGATGTAAAGGGCACTGATGGGAAAACTATACTTCTGCATTTTGTTGTGCAGGAAACCATCAGAGCTGAAGGTTCTCGCCTTTCTAGTGCCAATCAAAATCTGAAAGCCGAGAAAACTCAGCAATCTGATTTTCCGGATGATGTTGAATTTAGGGAGCTTGGCCTGCAAGTAGTTTCTGGTCTAAGTGGGGAGCTAACTAATGTGAAGAAGGCTGCTGCTATGGATTCCGATGTTCTCAGCATTGACGTTGCAAAGTTTGCTACCGGTATCTCTAAAATCAGAGAAGTTATAAAGCTAAATGAAGGGATTGCTCTGAAAGACAGTAACCTTAAATTCTCGGAATCAATGAACGAGTTCCTGAAGAAAGCAGAGGAAGAGATTGTAAGAATCCAAGCCCAAGACAGAGTTGCTCTCTCTATGGTGAAGGAAATAACAGGGTATTTTCACGGGAACTCTGCCCAGGAGGAAGCTCATCCGTTCCGGATCTTCACAATCGTAAGGGATTTCCTTTCCATTCTTGATCGAGCATGCAAGGAAGTTGCAAAGGTCAGCGAGAGAACAGTATACAGTTTGGCACGTCCGTTACCAAATCCTCCAGTCTTTTCTGGATTCAGCGTGAGGCAGCATTATAGTTCCTCCGATGATGAAACTCCGTCATAGGTCGTGATAAATGCCCCACATCCATATGTTCTTGTTGGTAAATCTCTTCATCTTCATCACAGTTGGATGTCCAATATCTAACAGGTCCCATTTCAAATGCAGCTGTCAATGCAAATGCCCTTGTGAGCAAATCTCATCACATATATAATATACTATATCAGGAGTTAAATATGGTATAGCTATAAGGTTGAATCTATCTTGTAAATAAATTAGTGACTGTCAATTGAAGTTTATGTTCAATGATACAAGTAGAACTCTTTATTGTATTTCCAGAAATTAATTAATCAGCTTTTGGCTGATTGGGATGGAAAATTCCCCATCACTTCATCTTGAGAATGAGTTAATTACAGGCACTGGGTTTATTACAGAGATGGATTCAAATGAATATGTAAAACAGCAAATGTGTTTTGCTCCCCAAAATGCCTTAAAGATGTTTTAGTTTATTCTCTTTCCTATTAAGGAAACTCCATAAGTATACCTATTGGGACCTCTCAGCATCCTTTCGTTCAAGCACCCGGCGAGTAACATTTTGAATCCTCAATCCCTCTTTCATGGCCTCGGGGCGGACAGTAAATGTGAAGTAGAATTTGTTGGATACCTATTCAAGTCGGATAATATTTTACCGATCTAAACACTAAATTAAAGAACTAGCATAAGAGGACACAATCTTTGAAAGGTACTAACTATCATTCTGCAACTCCAACTAGCTTTTGATGTTGTATCTGGGACTTCAGAGCATTTAAGATGATCAAAGTGCATGCATATATTGTGGAACCATTTTTAATATCTTTATTCTCATATACAACTTTGTCGAATTCTATTGTTCGTTATTTTCGTTTACAGAAACAGGTTTAGAGAGCGATAACGGTAACTCGATCAAGTTTTAATCTTAGATCTAATGTGCTTTAACATAGCTAACAGTTATTACACAATTTTTTTTTTATAATTTCAGGTACTCACCTCACTGCACCTTAGTTCAGGCCTTGTGACATGTGCCACAACTTCTACGTTTATCAGAGGTTCCATAGGGTTCTCAAGTTCTGTATATAAAACACAGAAACGGAGGAAATTTCCAACATCCACCTTCATTTGCCAAGAAAAATCATTAAATGAAATGTTGTTCTGTTGATCATTTCATATATAAATAAAAACGAAAGATTTCGTCATAGCTACTGCCAAACGAGATTAGTTACTGCAAAGGTTTATTTAGAACTTAATAGTTGTAGCTACTTACAGGTTTAAAGAAATCAACATGATCGACTTCTGCAAAACGAGGTGCGGCACCAGAAAAGGCATAAACATTCGCGAAGGCTAGTTCAGATGCTTTCCGCATCAAAAATCCTCCGAAAATCCGACCATGAATATTCCTTTGTTGTGGTTGGCACATCAATGAATTCTCATGACAAGTATCTCTTATAAGAATGCTATCTCTGTCCGCCAATGCTGGCATGTCACAGAAAACTCGCCCTTCAGCCAACAGTGCGTTACATCGGTCTTCATCTCCGTCATCAATATCCTCCTTTTGTGCTGCTCTCTTCTGTTTTCTCATTTTGTTTCTCTCTTCTGCTTCTGTCCACAACCATTTTTCATGTTCAGTTTCGGGCAATAACTGATTAAGTGGAGCTGATTTTCCTGTCTTGGAGTCACGAGCAACTAACGTGAAGTTCGCTACAAGAGCAACTGAATCCAAGGGATCCGGAGAATCTACAAAATGAAAAAAAAAATCATATATAGAGAAAAGCATAAAAATCAGTTCACTCGGCAACATCTGTGCGTGCTATATCTAAATGTTGGAATTAATATGGTACAAATATCCCAGGTCCACGTTAACGATATTTCGAAGTTGAAACAGATGCTGTAAGCTTCCTACAGAGAGTTAACGGGCCACGGAAAAGCCAGAAATGTTGAGTCAGAAAGCAAAAACAACTAACATTGATATAAAGATCTAAAGGTATGGAGTTGAGTGAAACATCTTTGAAAGAACAAATAACATTTCAACAAGTGATATAGCTGAGCTGCTAATTGTCATTGCAAGATGATAAAATTCATCAGAGCTGAAGGTTCTCGCCTTTCTATCGAACTCAACAAGCCAAAATATCTGTTACAACCTAATATCTGAGATTAGCACAAGGTTCCTTCTATTAATCTTTGGGGTTAATCTCATAATGCCCATGATCAATCAATGATTGACTGATATGCAACATAGATGATCAAAACAGGCCAAAAGCATGCATCTACAACCAAGAACATCAAGTGTGAAGCATACAAAAGCAGCCAATTTTTTTTTTGAAAAAAGACAAATAATGATATCGATGGAAACCTTCAAACTCGAACTTCTAGATTATCAATGTACCAGAATAGTTATCAACTCAATCTAGCTGCAAACTCAAAATGATCAATTTATGTTCACATTTTTTCTATTTCAAGAAGGCTGCCACAGGATAATGGACATATTCAGAACCAGAAGAAACAAATAGACAGACACATGTAAACGAAAAATTATCAGCGGCCAAATACAGAACATGTAAGAAAGCAGGGGAAAAAAACTTAACTAGCCTTTCCTCTTCACTACCTAGTGTGGATTGAGTTATTTCCAGCTGAATCTACATTGATGATCCCCAACCCATGCAACAGCCCCGGAGATTTTCAAATCAAAGTCGATACGGATCGGCTTTTTTAGAATTATCTTGTCAACAGAAGCTGTAACCAACAATATAGGCCTTGTTGCATCATCTTTCCGACAGTGCTAGTCCAAAAGCAAACAAGTCACTGAAAGTACGAATCTCGGTACCAGATCATCATAGAATGCATATATTTCACTCCGTTTCAAGCACTAAAAACACCAGTCTAAGCTCAAACAAGCATAATAGAGCCATTAAAATATATTAAAACTATAAATCTTACAAAAGATTGTTAAATTTCTTACCTTATATGATATGGTTCCAGCAAGAACATCAAGATCCTCAAGCAATTTCCCCATTCTCATCTCATCCCAAGGGTTGCTATACTGCTCCCTAAGTATATAATCAGAAGAAAACTTGTAAGCAATACTAGTCCTGCTCATTGAAGGGGTTTTTGCAACTAATTCGGTTTGTGAATCTTGAGTTTCATTAGAACGTCTCTCAAACATGCTTGATCTTGCTTCCCATAAGGCATTCGTTACAGGAGAATGGTACATTCCGGGCCATAAACTGATTGGTTTCCTCATTGAATACCCTGCATCAATAGGCTGAGAGCTATGAATTGGTCCACTAACAGTGGGAACAACTGGGATATCATTTGAAGCAGAAAGATCAGCATTTGGGTTTGGTTTTTCAACACAAAAAGTCCTGATTTGTGGAAAAGTTGCCGCCTTGGAAGTCAGAATTGGTTGTTTCAGGGAATTTGAGAAGTGAGTATTAAACCTTGAGAATGAAGATGAATGGGCAGTGGAAACCGGCATGGTTGAACCAGAAAACTTGGAATTAAAAATGGGAATTTGGGAAGTGAATGCTTCATTGCTTATTGATGATTGGAGAGATCTAAAGTTGTTAAATCCAAAGAAAGGGTGAGAGAGTGGCCTTTTCAAAGGATTCATGGTTCCAGATTCTGATTCAGAGAGAAGTCAAGTGTTGTTAAACTCCATCAAAACGTTTGAAAGGAACTTTATAAATGGAGGATAGCTTCTGATTTAATCGCTGTGTCGAGTTCCCACTCGTTACATGCAGAGCTTCCCTAGTCAGGAGGGTTTGATTTGGTCAGAATATTGATAAAACTGGAAGAATATATAAAAAAGTTTCATAAGAGGTGCCAGAAGGGGAAATTGATTCATATTTGATACTCTGTAATTCTACGCAGGTATAATATCAACATTAATCTATAATATTTATCAAAATAATCATTTTGGTCCTTATTTTTTTTATAGCATCTTGACCTACAACGTTTCATTTTGAGGTAAAAATGTCTACCTTGAATGGAAATCGTTAGTTAACAAACGGTTAGCGCTCCAAAATGAGGGACCAAAATGTTTCAAAAAAAAGAAAAGATCAAAGGGACTATTTAATTAAATGTTAAGAGTCTATTTACCCTAAAAATTAAAACGTTGGAACTAAAATGTTAAAAGAAAAATAAAATTTAAATCAAAATAACTAATTTAATAAACATTAGGGGTTAACTTTAGTATTATACCTTCCATGTATGGTCACTTATCTAAAAGAATGAAAGAAAGAATATTTATCAAACCCTATGAGGATTGGTTGGAATTAAATTCTCTTTTTAAAAAAAAGAAATTCCTTCTTAAACTTTATAGAAGTGTTTTACGCAACATCCTTTAATGCTTACGTTTTAATTAAGATTAAAAGTTTGAAATTAAATATTATAAATAGAATAAATTAGAATAAGATAATCATTTTCATAATAATTTTTTACAGTATTATTTTCAAATCAATCGATCAATAAATTAAATATCAATAATTAATATATAGTATCTGACTTTGTTAATTTTTTTTTAATAATTGTTATACTTTTATTTTTATGAATGTGATACTTTTATTTTTTAATAAATGTGATACTTTTATTTTTATGAATCAATTTAGTATTTATATTATAATAATTTTATAAATTATTTTTGATAATTTTAATCTATAATGACATGACATTTTAATAGTCAATGAGATTATGATATATGAGAAAAACATCACACCATCCTATATTAAAATTATCAAATTTATATACTACATTTGTAAAACTATTAGGTTAATTAAAAAAAATCTCATATATCATATTTAAAAAATATATATTCAAAGAATAAATTGTAAATTAAATCTAGTTATTATTTTTAATATATTAATCATCATTAGATAAATTTACAAAATTATATACAATAGAGAAATGATATATGATTCTTTAATATTTGAATAAATAATAGCAATGATTCTAATAATAATTTTTCACTAAAAAAAATAACCAAAGCGCCAAAGTAACGCTAAAACTTCTTTTTAATAGTTGGACGATTATATGATAGTATTTTTTTATAATATGTCTTAGTTATTGATAAATATACACTCTTTAGATAGTGACGGGTCTAGAAATATTTTTCAGAGTAAATACATATGTATTAATAAAAAAATTCGTATGAGGTGAGCACAAAATTTTTTTTATAATGGATATCTTCAATAAAATTGACAAGTAACATAAAAAATTCATATTTCAAGATGAACACGTGTTTACCCTAAATAATACATGCATTTACTATTATCTACAGACATAACT